GCCTGGCTCTCAGGAGATGTTAATAAATGTTATAGGCTGGGCACAGTGGCTCACACCTATAATCCCAGCACTTTGGGAGGCCAAGGCAGGCTGATCTCCTGAGTTCGATCAAGAGTTTGAGACCAGCCTGGACAACATGGTGAAACCCCATTTCTACTAAAAATACGGGGAAAAAAAATTAGCCAGGTGTGGTGGCGCACCTCTGCAGTCCCAGCACAAGAATCACTTGAACCTGGGAGGCAGAAGCTGCTCTGAGCTGAGATCACACCGCTGTACTCCAACCTGAGTGACAGAGGCAAGACCCTGTCTCAAAAAATTAATAAATAAATAAAATGTCATGGCTCGGGCCTAGCAGCTCAAGCCTGTAATTCCAGCACTTTGGGAGGCCTAGGTGGGAAGATAGGTTGAGGCCAGGAGTTTAAAACTAGCCTGAGCAACATAGCAAGACCCTGTGTCTACAAAAGAAAGTTTTTAATTGGCCAGGTGTGGTGGTGCACACCTGTAGTCCTAGCTACTTAGGAGGCTGAGGCGAAAAGATCACTTGAGCCCAGGAGCTTGAGGCTGTAGTGAGTTTTGATTGCACCACTGCACTCCAGCCTGGGCAACAGAGAGAGACCCTGTCTCTAAAGAATAAAAGTAAATTAGTAAATTAATGTTGTGAAGGAGAGAGCAATGGCTTACACAGGGAAGGAGCAGTAACCAAGTAGCTTCGTGTTAGGACAGGCTTCCTCTCCCGGGTTCTTCTTCTGTCTTCTGGAGGGAGTTTCATCAGAGAGCTCTCTGCCTGAGCTCTGCGCAGAAAGAGAAATAGTCTTCAGCACTCTGAGCTGTTTCTTCAGCAGTGTGATGGCACATCCAAGTCACCTGTACTCTTTCTGGTTAAAGTTTATGGAAGATATACGCAAACAGGATGATGGTGGAAAGGAGAGTTGAGGACGATGGTGGAATGAATGACAGAAGGCCCTGCTGCCTCTCAGCAGGCAGCCGTTCTTGGCATCCCTGGCCGATGCCCCCCAACCAACCCCACAGGGAAGCAGCTGTGTAACAGGAAGGATTCCTTACCAAGACAGGTGGCAGAAATCCCACTTCAAACTAGCTTTAAAAATACAGAAATTTATTTTCCCGAGTCACAGGAAATCTAGAGATGGGAGGCTGAGAGATGGCTGATTGAGCAGGTCAGCAGTGTCAGTGAGGACCTGGCTTCCTTCCAGCTCTCAGCTCTGCCATCCTGGGTGTTGGCTTCACCCTTAAACTGGCACGGAGATGGCAGCTGCACGTAGCAGCATCCCATCCCAGACTTCAGTGTCCATCCAGGTAAAGTTGAGAAAGTGTCAGTTCCAGCTGCTGGCCAAGGGAAGAGGTTGCCACAGTTGTGTTAGATGAAGCATCTGGAGTCAATGGGATAGATATTGAGCATCAACTCCAACGTCTATTACAAGTGCCCAAACTCTCAGCCCCAAATATCCTCCCCCAACCCCAGCCTAAGGAATTTAGAAGTTCTTATGCATTAGGTACAGTGGCTCACACCTGTAATCCCAGTTTACAGGCTGAAGCAGGAGGATTGCTTGAGTCCAGGAGTTCAAGGCCAGCCTGGGCAACACAGTGAGACCCCCTGTCTAAAAACGTTAAAAATAAAAAATTAGGCCGGGGTAATGGCTCATGCCTGTAATCCCAATACTTTGGAGGCCGAGGCAGGAGGATCACTTTGAGCTTAGGAGTTTGAGACCAGTCTAGGCAATGTGGTGAAACCCTGTCTCCACTAAAAATACAAAAATTAGCTGAGCATTGGTGGCCCGCACCTGTAGTCCCAGCTACATAGGAGGCTGAGGCTGGAGAATCGCTTGAGCCTGGGAAGTGGAGGTTGCAATGAAGTGAGATTGTGCCAGCCCAGGTAACAGAGTGAGACCGTGTCTCAAATAATAATAATAAAGAATTGGCTGGGTGTGGTGGCACATGCCTGTAGTACCAGTTACTTGGGAAGCTGGGGTGTGGGGATCACTTGAGTCCAGAAATTTGAGGATGCAGTAAACAGCTTTGATCACACCACTGCACTCCAGCCTGGCAATACAGAGAGACTCTGTCTCTTAAAAAAAAAAAAAAAAAAAAAAGTTTTTACAATCTGCACCATGTGGAAAATACCAAGTGGAAAGCCCTGACTGTGTTAGCTAATATCAGTTAATGCCTTAGAAATGAGCATAGCCAGGGCACTCCTGCAGAACAAGAACATCCAGGATGGGGAGAGCCCCTAGGAGAACCAGGAGAGCTCACCAGAGGAGGGCAGTTCTAATCCTTGCCCTCAAGGGTCAATCCTCACCCTATCCCACCCCTACCCCCAGCCGAAGAAACAGTGTTTTAAATTTAGCAATATCCATGCATTTATGACTTACATTGTAAATGGTATATGTGCTGCAAAATCTGCAGTCCTTCAACCGATCAATTACACTTTCATTTTTTTCTCTTCCTATATAGACCTGGCAGTGTTAGAACGTGCTGAATGAGGTCACAGTCTAAGGACAATATTAACCCTGCAAATCTGGTCATTTTCGCCTGAGCACCCTCAGGCAGGATAGAGAATGTGTCCAATTGAAAAACTATTACAGACTCTGCCTGGCTGTGATGGGCTGAAATGTAACAGGGAGGGGTGTGTGTGTGTGTGTGTAGCCAGGAAATCATTTTCTTAAAGGAAGTCAGCATGTATCTCTTAAAAGCGGAGGTTGTATGATTGTATTTTTAGAGGAAAAAAATGTGTTTTCTATCATCCAGATTTTAAAATGCTGCGTTTAGTATTTCTGAACCTTACCTGTTTTATATTTCCTACCAACTGTCTTTGGTTTTTAAATTTTTTTTCCAATACCCAATGCCCCTTTAACTCCTTTTCTTTGTGTGTTACAAACATCCTGTCATGTTTTTCAAGATCTATTTTGCATTGTTAAAAATATATACAACATATAAAGAATAATATAGTAAACATCCTTGAGCTGACCCCCCAATTTAAGAACTAAAACATGAACTCTTTTTCTCTGACTATTTCTAGGCTCTGTTAATTCAGCATGCAGAAACGCACAACACAGATGGTAAACATTTTGGGTAAAGGCCCAATCACCACCCCATTCGTAGTAGATGTTGAGTTTCAGAAGGCATGTGCATTCATAGTCTTGCTTGGACATGTGGTTAATGCTAAGTAGTCTAACAGTTGTGCCCCAGGTAACTCCTGAAGCTGTTCCGGATCATAAAATCTATGACGTTTTACAAACTTATATTTTATCATGGTGCGTTTTATGCACAAAAACTAGATGACTTCCCCTTTGTGGTCTCCATCAAAGGCATTTTTCAAAATCCCTTTAGCGTGCCTTATTCCTGGCTTTGTCATACATTGTTTGCGTGTTTGAAAACAGTTTTTGGCTAAATTATAAAAATGTGAGAGTATACATGTATCATTAGTTACAGAATTCGTACATAAGGGATATTTTAGCTTATTCCTCAATTAGGTACTCTAAATATTTGACCCCTTCATTAAATACCAGAGACCTGTCTTTACTTGTCTGTGGTTTGGGCTCTAATTTAAAAGCAAACAACCATGTTTTGATAGCATTTGAAATATTTATATGGTATCCATGGAAAGGATGTAATAATGTACTTTCTCAAGAGTATGGTTTCTGCCCAGGTGAGGTGGTTCACGCCTGTAATGCCAGCGCTTTGGGAGGCTGAGGTGAGGAGATCGCCTGAGTCCAGGAATTCAAGATCAGCCTGGGCAATGTGAAGAAACCCTGTTTCTACAACAAATATAAAAATTAGCTGGGCATAGTGGTGTGCACCTGTAGTCCCAGCTAGTTGGGAGGCTGAGGTGGGAGGATTACTTGAACCTAGGAGGTTGAGGCTACAGTGAACTGTGATCACACTACTGCACTCCAGCCTGGGTGACAGAGTGAAACCTTGTCTCAAAAAAAAAGAAAAAAAAAAAAAAAAAGAAAGAAAGAAAAAGAAAAAAAAGAAAAAAGTAAAATTTCTTAAACAGGTTCTTGCTGCCACCAGGTGATATCCTGATTCTGGTCTGTTTGCTCACATCGCACCTTTGCTTATGCAACTACACGTCAACATCTGCCTCAGTTCCTCTTTGGGAACTTGATTTCTTCAAGAAGTCAGATATGCAGAAGAGCAGTTTGCCTGTGGTTCATGAGCAAGCACGTATTTATCATTTGAGGGTATATTCTGTTGACTGATAAACTTGTGGTGCCTTGTTGTGAAGTTGCTTTATGTATGTGAGCTGATGGCTAGACCACTATGCTCTCTTTTTCCTGATTTGAAAAATAAAAGTTTAAGAAAACATTTTGTAGAACGCTGGTGTCAGAGGTCTATTTTTATTCCAAATGGATAGCAATGAGGAAGTTTTCAAAGAGAAGGCTCACTCACGTGCATTTTATTTAGACATGTTTTGTTTTAAGTGTTTGATTGTCATTTTATTTGGAAGGAGTAGACCAGGCATCCCCAAACTACAGCCCACAGGCCACATTCGGCCCCCTGAGGCCATTTATCCGCCCCCCCACCCCCGCCGCACTTCAGGAAGGGGCATCTCTTTCATTGGTGGTCAGTGAGAGGAGCACAGTATGTGGCGGCCCTCCAACGGTCTGAGGGACAGTGAACTGGCCCCCTGTGTAAAAAGTTTGGAGATGCCTGGAGTAGACTTTTCATATCATACTAGTTGCCATTTGTCAGTTAAATGCAAGAATTTGTTCATTTAATAAGCCTTCGTAGTCCTCAGAGTTATTTGAAGTGAACATGAGTTTAGTTCCTTATTTCCGAGCATATGAAGATTTCCTTTTCTTTGCTACAGAATTTGTTTTTCTGATATTCATGATGACAGAATCAAGAGCTTGCTGATTTTTCAGGTTTTATCACCAAATGAGTATCGTTAATCACTCGTTTGTTCTTTATGCTGTGTTTATTTCCTTTCTTTCTACCGTAAAGAGAAAAAGTGTCTAAACTTGCTTATCTCTCTGTAGGACAGTCGGCCCAATATGTCAAGACCTCTCATCACTAGATCCCCTGCATCTCCACTGAACAACCAAGGCATCCCTACTCCAGCACAACTCACAAAATCCAATGCACCTGTCCACATTGATGTGGGCGGCCACATGTACACCAGCAGCCTGGCCACCCTCACCAAATACCCTGAATCCAGGTAATCTGAAAAACTGAGAAATCAGACTCCGACGTGCATGTATTTGATAATCTAACTGTTTTTCCTTTAACCAGCATAGCAGCGTAGCCTCGTGGAGGCAGGGGGTAGGACATGAAAGCGCTGCGTGGGCTACCCTGTTGCCCAGGCCAGACGTCTTGGACAATGGCTGGACGTCTTCGAATCAGGATCGGACCCGCAGCGTAGTCGAGTCCATGTAAAAATGTCACAGAAGAATGGGATACTGTGACATTTTGATCTACAAAGATATTCATAATTCTCAATGTAGTACAAAAAGGATGATGATTTCTCGCCACCACCTTTTTCCTTCTTTTCAAGCATCCTTTCTTACATATTCTGATAATTTTATAGGAGATCAGTTGGCTCATCAACTTGGAACTAGAAAAAAAGAGATTCTCAGCAGTGAGGCATTATATTTCGATCTGTATGCAAAAGTCCAGGAAGCCAAAATAGTATCGTTTTTTAAAAATGGGCTGGACATGGTGGCTTACACCTGTAATCCCAACTCTTTGGGAGGCCAAGGTGGGTGGATCATGAGGTCAGGAGTTCAAAACCAGCCTGGCCAAGATGGTGAAACCCCCATCTCTACTAAAAATACAAAAAATTAGCTGGGCACAGTGGCAGATGCCTGTAATCCCACCTACTCAGGAGGCTGAGGCAGGAGAAGAGAATCACTTGAACCTGGGGCATGGAGGTTGCAGTGAGCTGAGATCATGCCACTGTACTCCAGCCTGGGTGACAGGGTAAGACTCTGTCTCAAAAAGAAAATGAAGGGCCATGGAACTCATGAACTTAAGGTAGATAAATAAATATATAAATTGTTTAAAGATGGAGAGTGGTTTACAAATAGTTAGTATACATGTATGTTTATGAGACGTCACCTCCCATGCCCCTGCCCACCCATTTCTTCTTCTTCTCCTCCTCCTCCTCCTCCTCCTCTTCCTCCTCCTCCTCCTCCTTCTTCTTCTCCTTCTACCTTCTACCTTCTTTCTTCTTTCTTTCTTCTTTCTTGTTCTTATTTTGGAGTCAAGGTCTTGTTCTGTTGCCCAGGCTGGAGTGCAGTGGTGCAAACATGGCTCATTGCAGCCTTGACCTTCTGGGCTTAAGTGACCCTTCCACCTCAGCCTCGCCAGTGGCTGAGACCACAGGTGCATGCCCCCATGCCTGGCAATTTTGTTTGTTTGTTTTTTATAGAGACAGGGTCAGATCATGGTGCCTAGGCTGGTCTCAAACTCCTGGCCTCAAGCAATTCTTCCATCTCAGCCTCCGAAAGTGCTGGGACTGCAGGTGTGAGCCACTGCACCTGGCTAATTTTTAAAATTTTTTGTAGAGATGGAGGTCTTACTATGTTGCCCGGACTGGTCTCAAACTCCTGCCCTCAAGCAATCCTTCCACCTTGGCCTTGGCCAAAGTGCTGGGATTACAGGTGTGAGCCACTGCACCTGGCCCCAACCACCCATTTCTAAAGGAGTTCCAAAGAAATGATTTCCTTTCCACTCTAGACAACCCTCCTGGCTCTGCCCCAGATTTGGGGGCTATGCCCAGATCCTGTAAGGGGAGTTTTTTGCTGGTAGATAGGGGAGGAGGCATGCACTCACATGGGCTGATACCGGGAAACAGGGTGTTTCTCTGTTTCTGATACAGGAAATGGAAACACACCACTTGAACTTCAGAAGGCCACCGGCTGCGTTTTTAAGAATGTCTTACAAAGTGACAGACAACAGCTTACAGTCTGAGTAGACAGCACTGACATAAAAATCACTGCCACCTTGAATACCACATGAAGGCTGACTTTTTTGTTTTCTGTTTTAAAATCTCACTCCATTACTTGATAATTTATGAAAGAATGTGAAGGCTGGAAAGAAGAAAGATGAAATGTTTTCTCTCTTGATTTACAGATTTAATTTCTACAATTGAAGTGATTTAAATAGATTTCCATGTGTTCAATTATCCAAAAGACTATATACTTTAAAATAAAATGATTGTATTAGTCATCTATTAGTATTATTGAGTTCCCACCTTCCCTAAGTATATTGGAGTAGGCACTACAAAATCATATTAAAATAATGGTTTTATTTTTCAAGAATTTTGTTATGTAAGTAGTGTTGTTTTTGAAAATGCCTATTTCTATTCCTTCCAACCCTCTCTTAATATCACCATCGACTACAGAAGATCACAGCTGCCTCTTTAGATTAACACTTAATTCTAGGGGTTAAGTCACAAAATGTACATTAAGAGTCAAAAAGCACGGGCCGGGCGCAGTGGCTCAAGCCTGTAATCCCAGCACTTTGGGAGGCTGAGGCGGGTGGATCATGAGGTCAAGAGATCGAGACCATCTTGGTCAACATGGTGAAACCCCATCTCTACTAAAAATATAAAAAATTAGCTGGGCATGGTGGCGTGTGCCTGTAATCCCAGCTACTCAGGAGGCTGAGGCAGGAGAATTGCCTGAACCCAGGAGGCGGAGGTTGCGGTGAGCCGAGATTGCGCCATTGCACTCCAGCCTGGGTAACAGGAGCGAAACTCCGTCTCAAAAAAAAAAAAAAAAAAAAAAAAAGAGCCAAAAAGCAAACCTTCAATTGTAACAACATTTACTGGTCTGGTCTGATGGCCTTTTGCTTCAGTTTTTTTTTTCTTTTTTTTTTTGGAGGTGGGTCTTGATCATATTACATGAAGCTTTCCACCATTTTAAACAATTAGGCAAGGCATTAGTGACAGAGGCATCACTGATAAATATAGAGCAACATTGGGGCAGTAAAGAGGAAGCTACAGAGACATCGTGTTTCTTCAAATGTCAGAAGCTTCCACATCACAGCAGGAGAGCCGAGGATGAGCTCCACCTCCCGAAAGCTTAGTCCAAAAACTTCCTGTAGGCATTTGCACCAAACAAGGCTTCCTGGGCTTCTGGCATCAACTGCTGGACTGAGATCCAGCCGTCTTTCCAGGGTGTTGAAAACCTTTATTTTATGATCCCCATTGTGGATCTCAACTCCACCAACTATGTCCTCAGGCAGGTGGGACTCCTGGTCAGTTTGGACATCAACATTGTTTTTGGTGGCAATTTTGTACATTGGGATTGCCTTTTGCACCACAGGCTTTACCAGAGGGAAATCTTGTTTCCTGCGTCGAACGGTCATTCGGGGTTCCAGCAACTGGTACAAACCCTGGAGAACCAGTCCATCCAGCGGCACTTGGTACCTGGTTGTGTCTTTTACTACCTTGCCCAGCCTCTGTTTCGCTTCATTTAGTAGGTCTGTGATAAGGTCATCTCTTGCTCTGAGGACTTTGAGCCTTGCTTGATTCATCAAATTGGACATCTGAATTTTCTTCCGCTGCTCAATCTGTTTCTCTTTCTTCTCGTAATACTCCATAATCTTTAGTCTTTGGGTTTGCACAAGCTGACCTTTCTCTATGTTAACTCTTCCTCTGCCTTTGCATCTTCTCATTCTCTTTCTCTTTCTCTTTCTTCTGCTTTCTCATTGGCTTCTTGTTCAATGAAAGCCATCATATGCTTAATCTGCTTTTGCACGTCAGCATCTCTGAGAGCCATGGTGAGAGCAATGCTAGGCCGGTGAGCAGCAGGTTCGAGTTTAGGTTTGAGGGGCAAGGTGGGTGGAATAGCAGAGACAACCCTCCACTTCAGTTTTTTTAAAAATTAAACCTTGAGACAGGAGGGAAGTTAATAATAACTCCATTTTCTGTGACTTAAGCAATAGGTTTTCTTCTGTGCTCATTGTAACCGAATGGATCTCCTTCCACTGACTCATGCCCCCCAGGGTTTAGCCCCTGGGAAGCTCCCTGGTATCACTTGGTCTGTTGGCTGAAGTAGAAGACAGAGGGAGAGAGGCTCTATTCATTCAGTTCCTGTCTCTCAAATAATTCGCTACTTTAATCATTCCAGAGCTGCATATTATAGGTAAAGACTTCAAATAGTGTTCCATTTGGAGATTCTTTTTCCCAGTCCTTCTTTCCATGGGTATTTCTAAGAATCCACTTTTGTTTCTTCTTATTCACACCCTGAGACACGCATCAAATTCCATGGATCTCATTGCTTTCACCTGCGCTGTCTCATACAGTAGCCAGTAGCCACATACAGCTATCGAGTGCTTTAAATGTGGCCAATCCAAATCACAGTATCCTCTAAGTGTGAAATATACACTGATTTTTAAAGACTTAGTACCAAAAAAATGTAAACTCAGTAATTTTTTATATTAATTTCGTGTTGGAATGATAATATATTGAGTTAAATAAAACATTAAAATTAATTTCACTTGTTTGTTTTGGTTTTTTAATGTGGCTACTAAAAAATATAAGATTACATGTGTCTCGCTTTTTATTTCCGTTGGACAGCGCTGAACTATGAAACAGATGTTTTTATAAAAGCATCTCACTAAACCTGCCCCTCCCCCAACCTAATACTGAAATACATCAAAAAGTGAACATCTCTTTCACCAGTGTAATTAGAAAAGATAGAATTGTTGATCTTCCTTTCCCAGTCTTTCCCTATGCTTTCTGTCACCAGTGAGTCCTAGTGTCACAAGAGCAACAGCAAAAATAATTTGCAATTCATTAGTTCTCAGATTGGATGTTGGCAAATGCCTAGCAGTTCTTTGGCTATGGATAGGTCTAATTTCTGAACACCTGTCGTCTCTCTTGTAAAATAGGCACAAACAGGTCTCCTTGCAAGGTTATTGGGAGGATTAAGTGTGATTATGAAAAGCACACGTGGCCCCATGCCCAACACATTGTATTGTCTTCATACTTCATCTTCTGCCAAACCCAGGAATTGTTTCTTTTCAAACTGCCTTTCGAATTCCAAATATATCCCATTCCTTGCTTGCCTAGCCATGGAAACAGCTTTACATCTGGATTCTTGCCTGGGTGACTCTCATCTCAGGGACTCCTGGTCTGCATCTTCTCTTCCTTTATCTTAAATACTCCAGCCTGTCACAGGTTCTGAGATATCCCTATCATTGGGAGAT